AGTAAAAAGCAGTTATTTTAATATTACAAACAGATACTTTAATTTTATTTATTTCTATAGATGAGAGCCTGCCTACCCAACCTCAGAAAATTCAGCAGTAGTAAAATGATATGTAACAGCCACATACGTAATCCATTACAAAAATAACATCTAAGAAAACATATTTATTTTATTAATGTAATTTAAAATTATTTCATTTGAAATTAATTAAATAAAAAAAATGATTAATTAAAATTTAGGGATCAGCAGCTAAAAAAACTCAATATCCTACAACGAACTCAGAAAAAATAATAATAAGTTTTAATCCGCTATCATTGATTATAAGGTATTTATGAAGAAATAAAATTTTAAATATAACTCAACTTTTTACATACTACATGCATTATAATCAAAAATATCACCACATACATTCGTTTCATCCACAATAGAAAAACAAAAAAAAACATAAATACACACAACCTAAGAAATAAACACTAACTTGAACTCGTTAATAAACACACTAATTATGGAAGAAAATCAATTTAATACAAAAGAGTGCAGTTACACAGTTATATAATAGCTTGCCAAATCAAAGTTTAAAATGTAACAATGTTAATATTAATATGTTTAACAGTAAGCATCAAAAATATGTTTGCACATTACTATCTTCATAAATTGTTGATTTAGTCATAAATTATAATTAAGTACCACAGCAATAATTCTGAAATCTTATATTTAAGTCACTCTATGTATCTCATTGTAAGTGAAATACTGTTTTTATGAGAAATAAATTTATTAAACCTAAACCTATTTAAAAGTAAGAAATATTGTATAATCTTATTCAAAGCTCCTAGGAACTTCTAATTCTACAATAACTTCAAAACGTGAGACCTCTACAGAGAAGACCCGACATCCGGTTTTAGTCATTGAATTTCATGTTTGTTAATCCATTTGAAATGTATACTATAATACTTCAAATATTAAACAAAATAGTTTTGTGTATAACAAAACTCTTTTTAGGGACAAAAATGGTAATTGTATGGCTGGAGCATCATTTGAAAATCTAGTGAGTAAATTTTGTGAAACCAATTTGGTTGGACTTCAGGTTGCAGCACCTTATCACGGTGTTTTGCAGTAGTTAAATTGCCGCATATTTCTCCCGCCAAGACGGATTCCCATCCATCCAATGAGTGTTCCACCTTGATATGGATGGACTTCCTCGGGACTTTACAGGCTTTACTTACGTCCAGGTTTGCCAAGCACGTATTCTCCGTGACTCTGGATAGAGAAGCACAACAGGAATTAATCTTTTTTTTATAGGATTTTTTGTAAAAATCAGGCTTGTTTTGCGGTGTTAACCAGGCTATTTCAGGCGTGCCGCTCAGTCACATCGCCAATGTCTTGGTAGCCACAAACAGACCACAAACTTTATATGACGATTTGACTGCCAAAGGCAACATTTCACTGGATCGCACCCGCTTCCAGCATGCTTATTGTTCTCCTGGTTTTTCCTCTGTGGCATCTTACGACACCCACGGGTCGATATGTGGTCGTGGATATTCTTACACCGCCACTACACGGTCAATTAGTAACAACATACAAATACTATGTATTACTGAATTTTAGCTAGAAGATCATAGTTTCATGTTCAATTTTAGTCGTCAATTCTTTCAATTAAGAAAAATACTTATACATTACTTACGTTTTACATTATCATGTAAAGAACATAAGAATATTTTGAGCCTCTCTTTTGACAGAACTGTAGAAACGGTTACCTTACATACACAAAAACGGAAAAGTGAGGAAGATAAGCGTGTTCAAATAAATAAACATAGGAAAGTTTTGAAGTAATATAATGACAAAACGTATAAAAACAATACTGACTTATTAGTTAATATTATTATGTCGTGAATTAACTAGAATATTTACTTCTAAAACATTCTCCTTAAACAGCCGCAATTAATGAATGGACGTCAGTAGTAATCCATAGAAGTAGACAAAAATATGAGCTTTACAACGAAAGAACATAGGTTTATAATAATAAAGCGATATTTTGGAAATATGTAAAAAATATTGTATAATATTTTAAAACTCTGAGTTAAAGCAACAAAACTAAAACTGAAACACTCAATATTTAAATGACGTAGGTTAAACTACGCTTCTTAAATTTTCAATTATATCTGTTTTGACTGAATCGGATAAAGAAGATGATGAGGCTTTTGAGAAAAAATCAATCATATTAATTTTATACAACAAAATCTTTAAACTCTTTTCCTACTGCCGAATTACTGTTTAACAAAATGTAAAGACTTGACTTGAAAAACTTTTAAATTTCATAAAGTATTGCCTCTTTAAGAATCATTTCGTTAAATTGTTTTAATGTATTCACGTAAAGAAACTAGCAGACATATGGGGAATTCTTGTTAAAGTTGTTGTATCCATAATAGACGTAATTGAATCTCATTAAACGATTTTTTTTTTAATTATAATTTTATACCTAAGCAATAGAATGCAGGCACGAATTTTCAATGGTTAAACTTCTCCCATATCGCCTGCAATTGGAGTTCCGAAGGGCTCAATCCTCAGTCCATTCCTGTCCCTAGTCGATTTTTAATCAATTACCTTATCTTGTAGGGGATAAACTTGATACATTACTATTTACGTATGGTATTACATTGATTTTCAAACTTAAACGGCAATCCTTTATATATGACAAAGCGAATAATGCTTTATCAATATTTAAGCGACATTAAACTAAGTTTACAAAATTCACAACACCAAATAGTATATGAATATCAATTTATTTTTAAATGAGGAAGAATTGATGAGCTTTGTTGATGCCACTATTTCCTTTTTATTTTTGTTTGTCTTTGGAAACACAACTGATTTAGAAAGTACTTTTGTTTGGTAGAAAAAGGGGCAAAGCCTATAAAAATATATTTACATTGGCTATTATATTAATAAAAATTAAATGCATGTTAACAAAACATAATATGTATAAAGAATTTAATAAAAAAGTGATATACGTTCTGAATAAAAAGATATATATGTTCTTTTATAACTCTCGGCCTGGAGATCAAAATTATTAAACAAAAAGGGGCTAGCTCACTTAATGACACTTAATATTACATGAAATAACTTAAGATTACACGGTATATGTATTACAAAAAAAAAAAGAATTACAAGAACAACTGAAATTAGAGAATAAAAAGAGGATTAGTGCAATAATCAAATACCATTAACTAATTATATTAAAAAAACAATAATAAAAGAACATTACCTACCTCACCTGAAAACACACAAGCCAATAAGAAGGACAGAACACCAAAATTGCACTTATCGACTCCTCTTTGTAACCGGGCATGCTGAACTATTTAGTTAATAAATACCAATACAAAATCAGACAAATATGACAACAATGGTAAGAAAACAAAGCAACCAGTACCTCCATCTGCTACAGTTTTTATGAAGAAAGAAGTTCATTCAAGCAATATAAAATATCTAAGATTATCACCACAACTATCAAAATATAAAAACCATATGTATGTGTTAGGAAGACGACATAAAAAAGATAGGCTACATTAGATGCAAACAGCATAAAAACAGAGACAAATGGAAGTCTTTGGCGGAGGCCTTCGCCTAAGGAGGGTTCATGCAAAGTAAATAAATACAAATGAATAAATAGATCTTTAAAAAATTAATAAACAGATCTTTAAAAAATATTTTGTAAATTTGCAACTAATTTAAATCTTATTTTATTCTATTCCTATTGTTATAATAATTAAATTCATTTAAGAAGAAAGAATAGTCACTTAAATTTTATTTAAGTACCTTAATGTAAGTAATTTATTAAGGTACATAAATTTTAAGTGACTATTCTTATACTTACTGAATAAATAATACCAATATAATATAAATGTATACTTGATTAAGCTAAACCAAACATTATAAAATAATCGTAATACTGAGAATTATAACATTAATTAACTCTAATTAAATCCATTCAACCTCCACCACGTAATCGGCGGTGAAGGAAAACATCGTGAGGAAACCAGCATGTCTGAGAAAAAGAAAAAATATTTTGAAGAAACGTCAAGTTTTGGCGAACTTCACGTTTTTTCGAAATATTTTGCATATACACGCATTGGGACAGACATTTCCTAGCCCAGAAATCCTTTTAAAAATGAAAGGAGGCCTGTGCCCAGCTGTTGGACGTCTACGTAACTTTAAATTCATTAAAAAGTTATAATTAAATAAAACATATAAGTAAATATATTAATGTATTAAAATCTAAAATTATATTTAAAATTTCTGCAATAAAAGACTTTATTTATTTAATAAGTTCTGAAAACATTAGAAACAAACACGAGATAGGGTAAGTAGGTAGATAGTTAAGGGTAAAAAAAGACAGAAAAATTATACAAGGTCTTGTCTACCACAAATTTTTTTTTAAATAAAGTGTTTTTATATTATTAATGAATACATGGTTGATAACTACCGCTGGAAATGAGGTGCTCGCGTCACAAATGATTCCAAGCTGCTAATAAAATGCAATTTAATATTAATTGTACAACCTATGTTTTTCATTGCAACATTTTGCTGTTAAAAAGCCTACAGTAAAAGCCTCCGTATCTTGCTGAATCTTTCCAGTACAGAAGTTTTATTCGTACGTATTGTGATATTAAAAATGACTATCAATAATTGTTGTTTACTAGTGATCCACCCCGGCTTCGCACGGGTGATTTCTGGATCTCGACAACAGTGCAACCTACCGGGTCCAATTGTAAATCTAAGCAGTCCAAGGACCAATTATTATAAAACACATCATAATAATCATCAAAATCGGTCGAGGCGTTTTCGAGTTTTTGCGAGACCACGGCAATTGATTTTTATATTAATTTATTTATTCAGAAACAATATTATATAGTTTATTCACGAATATTATTATTATGGATTTATCTAAGAGAGCACGCTCTATTCCAGGCAGCATAGTGCAGTGCGCCGAATGCGGCACGCGCACGATGGGCAATAAACTGTCGTCGTGTTCCTGCGCGCCCATCCTCCGTAAGGCGTACCGTTACGAGGACAGCCCGTGGCAGAACTCCCGACGTCGTGATGGTCATTTATTAAGGTATTAATTAAATTATGACTTGATATTTTTTTTATCGATATTAATTATTTAGTCTGTATGGGTAAGTACCATCCACTTCAACTTCACACTTGCAGCAGCAGTGCGTGCACTGCTGTTCCAGTCGGAAGGGTACAGAGAGCCAGTTTAATTACAGGATGTGAGACATTAAATCTTGGTCCTCATTGGCAACTCGTTTGTTTAATGTTAGCTACAAGGTGTCTATGGGTTGTAGTAGTCACTTTTATTTAAAGAATAGGGTGACAAACGAGCACAGTCTACCTGATAGTAAGTGAATAACGTGGCTCTTAGACATCTACATCTATATTCAACTGAAAATTAAAATGCAGACGAGTTATCACCCCTGAGGACTAAGATGGAATGCCTCGTTTCCAGTAAAATGGGTCTCCGGTTCTCTACACTCGCCATACGTAGTATTCTGTGAAAGTACAGTACCCCGATCGAGCCTACTCATTCGTGTTACAACTATAATATAGCTACAGCGTGGCTCTACCACGTATAAAACACAACATTAAACACTTATTATATTTATATATTTAAACACTTATGATAAGGTGAACTGTTATATTTTATGTTACTTCATTTTTTTATAAAAATAATAATTTGTCCAATTTTAATTGTACTATTATATATATATATATATATATATATATATATATATATATATATATATATATATATATATATATTTTATTTTGTTAAATTTAAAATAACGCGATTTATCTCTCGAAAAACTATTTAATTATTGTTTTTTTTTTAAACTATGAAACGGCTAGACCGATCTACTTGAAAATCTAACTCGAAGTATCAATGAACATTTACGAACGCCGTGTCGCCCATCTCGAGCGGTTGGTTCCTTCTAAAGATATCTTACAACAAATTTGTATTTACATACATACATACACACACACACACACACACACACACACACACACACACACACACACACACACACACACGACGGGACGTCCAGCCGGAAATAGTCAGAACGGCCTCCTAAGACCTCAAAATGTTGAGACCTGATGAAAACTCGCATTCTCAAAATCAGACCAAAATCTATAAATTCCTATTTTTGTAAATTATTAATTTTCAAAGCGGGAACTTAAATAGTGATACATTATTAATTTTTCCGTAAAAACTCTGGGCATAGCCCTTCTCCATAGCTTGCTGAGCGACTTTAAGAATCTTCATACGGCCACCAGTAAAGGACACTTTGTTTCCAAGTTTTGAGCAATACGTGATGAGAAGATGATGTCTTGTAGCCTCTTGAAAGCTGCTCCAGTCGAGTTGAATCCGTCGATTAGCCTCTCGGTCTTCGTTATATTTAGCATGTTGGACAATATAACCAAGATAAACATACTTGTCAACAACTTTGAGAATAGTGTTTCCAACGATAACCTGATTATCTTGTTCGTGTTCATCATAAAACCTATCCATTGGGAGACATTATTGCGTTCATTGAACAAAGTGGATCCTTGACCATAATGACTATATCGTCCAAAATCGAAGTTAAGTGATGGAGCCGGGTTCTTTTTTCAAGAGCCATTCTTAATCCGCTCCAGGTGACATCTGTAATATCACCGTAATAATGTCGGATAAGGCTTGGTAATGGTTCATTATTCAAGCTTGCGTGGTAATCCAACGACGATACGTACTATCCGTCATAATCATCACCATCATCATCATTACAGCCTTTCATAAGTCCACTGCTGAACATAGGCCTCCCCCAAGGAATGCCACAAAGCACGGTCTTGAACCACCTGCATCCATCGACTTCCTGCATGTCTTACCAGGTCGTCACTCCATCTCGTGCGGGGACACCCTACACTTCGCCTACCGGTACGAGGCTGTCACTCAAGAACTTTTCTTCCCCATCGGTTGTCGGTTCTTCGAGCTATATGACCGGCCCACTGCCACTTCAGCTTACTAATCGGTTGGGCTATGTCGTTCACTCTGGTTCTACTGGGGATATCCTCATTTCTAAGTTTATCACGCAGAGAAACTCCGAGCATAGCCCTCTCCATAGCTCGCTGAGCGACCTTGAGATTCCTCATACGGCCAGCAGTGAAGGACCACGTCTCAGATCCGTAAGTCATCACTGGCAACACGCACTGGTTATATAATTTCATTTTAAGGTTTTGAGGAATGTCTGACGAGAAGATGTGTCGTAGTTTCCCGAACGCTGCCCAGCCGAGTTGAATTCGTTGATTGACCTCTCGGTCGAAGTTGGACTTACCTAGTCGGACTATTTGTCCCAGGTGTTTATTACGAGTATGTTTATACTCGTCAACAACTTCGAGCTTAGTGCTCCCAACAACTACGGGCATAGGTGTGACATGGACATTGAACATAATCTTTGTTTTGTCCATGTTCATCTTAAGACCTATCCGTTGGGAGACACTATTGAGGTCATTGAGCATGGTGCTTAGATGCTCCAGCGATTTTGACATAAGGACTATATCGTCGGCAAATCGAAGGTGAGTGATGTACTCGCCATTGATGCTATCGTACCTACCGTATCCATTCCAGTCCAGAAGCTTGAAAACGTCATCCAATGCAGTGGTAAAGAGTTTCGGGGATATAACGTCACCCTGTCTTACAGCTCTCTGCAATTGGATAGGTTTCGTACTCTGGTTATGTACTCGGATAGCCATCGTAGCCCTACTATACAAATATTTCAGCACTTCGATATACCGACAGTCAACTTGGCACCGCTGAAGGGACTGCAGCACCGCCCAAATTTCGACGGAATCAAAGGCTTTCTCATAGTCCACATACGCCAGGCGTAGTGGCAAATTGTACTCCTCGGACTTCTGTACAACTAGCCGAAGGGTATGTATGTGGTCTACGGTGCTAAATCCCTTTCGGTAACCGGCTTGTTCGGGAGGCTGGAAGTCGTCAAGTCTGCGCGCGAGAAGACACGTAATGACTCTCGAAAACAGCACGTAGATACGGCTCAGAAGCGAAATCGGTCTGTAGTTCTTCAAGAGAGCGTTGTCACCTTTCTTGAAGAACAAAGCCACCGCACTTCTGCTCCACGCTTCTGAAGGACTTCAAGTACCGGTTTTCCACCCGCTTTCAGAAGCTCCGCTGTAATTCCATCCTTGCCTGGGGCCTTGCCGTTTTTAAGGTGCTGGAGAGCCATTCTAATCTCGCTCAGACTGACGTCCGGGATATCTTCGGAATAGTGTCGGATAAGACTCGCTCTTGGATTGTTACTCACACTTACGTGTGGCTCCAACGATGATGTGTACAGCTGCCCATAGAACCTCTCAATCTCACTCAAAATCTCAGGTGCCCCGGAAACGATGCTGCCACACTCGGTCCACAGCTTCGACAGTTGGCTCTTTCTGGCAGACAGATCTCTGGCAAAGACTTTGGAGCCTTGGTTCCACTCGAGCGCTTCTTCAATACAAGCTGTATTGAAGTTGCGTAAGTCCCGCCGCATGCATTTGGAGATCTGTCTGTTCAGTTGCCTGTATGCTGTCAAATCTGTTGAAGAATGTAGCTTCATCTCCCGTCTAACAGCCATGAGATTAAGAGTGTGATCGAAGAGTTTTTGTGTTCTTCTGCGTTGGGTCTTGCAGAACTTAGCTCCGACCGCATGGACAGTTTCTGACTATCAGACTGACATGACTTCATTATGACGACCAGTTGTCGTTTGGTCGTCATAATGAAGTCAATCTCATTTTTTGTCGAACCGTCGGGGCTCGACCAGGTCCATTTCCTGTGGGGCCGCTTCTGGAAGAAAGAGTTTATCATAAAGAGTCCCTCTTTCTCCATGAAGTCGGCCAGCTGCTGGCCCCTGGGGTTCTGTTGCCCTATTCCAAATTTCCCCACTTTCAGCTCGCCGTTCTCTCTTGTGCCTAGTTTTGCATTGAAGTCTCCTATTAACACCGTATATTGGGGTTTGGAGGAATGCATGGCTCTAGGGATATCCTCATACATTTCCTCCACCTCCTCATCGGGGTGTGCCGAGGTTGGTGCATAAACCTGTATGAACTTCAGCGAATACCGTTTGGTGATTCTGAGTATAAGGTACGCAACCCTCGTCGACACACTCTCGACCTTTACAACGTTGTTAACGAGAGACTTGTGGACGATAAATCCGACACCTCCTTGGGACAGATGGTCGCCCTTCCGGTGATAGAGCAAGTTGCCGGATTCGAGGATTACCTTGTCCTCCCCCTTTCTTCGGACTTCGAATAATCCTATAATATGCCAGCGTAACTTGTCCATCTCTTCTTCCAGCTCCACGATCTTCTCGTCAGTCCTCAGGGTGCGTGCGTTGTATGTTGCCAGGTCGATTCGTCTAAGATGGCAACCGAACCTCCACCGGAGATTCTTAGCACTCCCTGCCCCGCCATTACCATGGTCACCACCGTAGCCGGGAATAGTGGGGCCGCCGGGGACTGGGAGCCGTCTCTTTGTTACACTCTTCATAGGGGGGTATTTGCTATAGTTGTCACGCTTGGCGAGCGGGTTGGCAACCGCAGTTTTTTTTTATTGTAATTTTGGCTACTATCAGGAAGATGCTGCTGCCCATCTCCTGCCTGTTTCCCTTTGTCGCCTTTTACGACACCCAGGGGAAGATATGGGGTAGTGGATATTCTTGACCGCCACTACACGGCTCCTAGATCCTCTAAATTTACTCAAAAATTCCAGTTGCCTGAAATTTATGCTACAAGAGTCAGTTTTCAACTTATACAGGCGGTTTTTTCCGGCAGATATATCTCTTAAAAGGCTTTGGAGCCTAGGTTTCGTTCAATTGCTTCTTCAACACGAGCTGTATGAATCTACGTGAGTATCACCGCATGAATTTCGAGATCTGTCTGTTCACTTATATGTTGTAATTTCTGTCGAAGACTCCGGTTTCATTTCCCATCTAACAGCCATAAGATTAAATAAGAACGTGCTCGGAGAATTATTGTGTTTACTCATTACTTCTGAGACTAGTCTTGCAAACCTTACGAGTAACTGCGACCGTGTGGACAGTTTCCAAGAGCTTGTTCGATGTATGAGAATTTTATAGACTCTAAAACGCTTTTTAAATCAGAGCTAAGCGTTTTCGGGGCTTTCATGCCACAGTGGGATGGCGGTGAGAAGGAAAAGGGGAGATCTCCCGCCGGGGAAGGTGTTCTGCCCGGGGAGCGGCCAACGCTCTGAGTGGTAGTTCGGAGCTATTCTATATATATTGCTTTAATTTCGGAACTTTGTTAGCGCGATTTAGGCTTCGATGTGTTTGGCTTGTGGCGCGACGACAGCGCCGCCACATAGTAGTGAACTAATAATGATGAACTTAAATGAAAAGCTGTAATGATGATTATGATTTTTAATTCGTTAATTGTTTATGTAGAGCCGTGGTAGTTCATGATACGCGAGCAACCCGGGTTCAATCCCCGTCGACACCAATGAAATTGTTAATTGCAATTTTAAGTGTAGTAGTAAGTAGTGTAATAATTTACCACGTGCTCAGCGGTAACTGAAAACATCGTGACGAAACCGGTATATCTGAGAAATAAGAAAAAATATGTTGAAGCCATTTGAAGTCCACCAACACGCATTGGGGCAGGGTGGTGGACATTTCCTTGCCTTAAAACCTTCTCAGAAATGAGAGGAGGCCTGTGCCCAGCAGTGGGACGTATATAGGCTAAACCTTTAACTTTTAACTTTAATTATAAAGGCGTCAAGGCTTTAGGCGTAAATATAAAACAATATCATTAGTAAAATAAATTAAAACATTAATATAGCCTTCATTTTATAGGTAAACGTAACCAAATAGGATATTCGCATAACTATCTAGCGTAATATTTTATGTATTATATTGAAAAATGTCTATTATTTTAGATTAAAAATGAGGTCAAATTGGCGAGGATTAGTACGGGATTGCGTCATTAAACATTTCGTTATATTTTTATAGTTAATTAAGATCATAATAGTAGCCAAGTCAGATGATTAATCTAATTAAAAATTGGCTTGTTTAAAATTAAATGATGAAATAGTAAAATTCACCCAATATTATTGTGAAATAGCAACATAATACTGCTCTGTTTCGTATGGTAAGTGATGAGAAAAGGAAAACACTTTCACTGGTAATAAAGTATTCCATCCTCAGGCATAACTATGTATACGCATTTTGACTCTTAATCGAGGTTAGATGTCCACATTTCTTTTGGCTCGTTTGTCACCTTTAATTCTATAAAAAACAAATATAAAGAAGTGACATTATAAATTAGCACTAATTTAAATTTCATTTTTTATTCTCAATGGATAAAGGATATGAAAAATAAACGAAACTAAATCTTTAATTTGCAGACTTTGGGCTGAGGTATTTCACGTGTCGGCAAGCGGTGCAGGCACAGTAAAATGGCAGCAGGTATCGGAGGACCTCGTGCCAGTCAACATCACCTGCATACAGGACTCACCCGAATGCGTGTTTCATATCACAGCCTACAACTCGCAAGTCGATAAGATCCTCGACGTCAGACTACTACAACCAGGTACGCTTAACAATTTGTGCAATTGAGGTAGTTAAAATCAACCATCAAGCAATGTTTACTGTTTTTCTGCATGATAACTGGGACAAGTGAAGTAGGTGCCATGGACAAAAAGTCCTTATACCCTATTTGTCATTTGAACACAAATCCAATATAGTCTCTGTCCCGGAGACTCAGATTTATGCCATTTAACACACAAAATTTAAATATTTTGTAGCACATTTTGCAAAACAAAATATAAAAAAATTTAATTAGCTCACAACATTTTTACATGATTTTTAATTAAAAGCGGAAAGGAAGTCTGGAGACTTTATTTATGCTACGGACTTGTATAAAATGATTAATTTTGAATGTATATAGGTAAAACAAAATATCTTAATATTAGGTCCTTACATATGAAATTAGCGTTTTGTCATACTGACCACTTTGATCTGAAATATCTCCTCTTTGGTTAAGAATTCCAAATTCAAATTTATAAATTTTGGTACATTTTAGTTTTGGAAACAGTCTTTCATTTGTTTTTTCCTCATAATTTTTTTCTTTGGCGTCGCTTCTTACCGCACAATGGAAAACATGAAACATCGGTGTATTTATAAGTACGAGTTCTACCGTGGACCAGTGCTGCAGAAACAGCTCGAAGGATTAATGATGTGTACGGCGCTGGTATCGTAAAAGAAAGCACGGTACGTTTTTGTTTCTACGTTTTCGTTCTGGAAATTTCGACGTTCAGAATCAACACCGTGGACAAAAGTGGAAAATGAAGAATTAAAAACTATTGTGGAAGATGATCCATCACAAAGCCCTTCAGAGATAGCTGCAGGCTTCGGGGTAAGTGATAAAACTGTATTAATCTACTTGAAGCAAATCGGGAAAGTAAAAAAACTTGAACAATGTGTACCTCATGAATTGAGTGAATCGAACTTGCAAACACGCGTCGACTGCTGTGTTACTTTGCTCAACCGACACAATAATGAAGGGATTTTAAATCGAATCATTACTTGTGATGAAAAGTGCTGTACTGTACGATAATCGGAAGCACTCGTCGCAATGGCTGAACGCTGGAGACCCAGCCATATCCTGCCCTAAACGAAAATTGACTCAGAAAAAGTTACATGTGAGTGTTTGGTGGACTAGCGCCGGTGTCGTTCACTACAGTTTTTTTTAAAATCTGGCCAAACGATTACGGCAGATATCTTTTGTCAGCAATTGCAAACCATGAAGGAAGAACTAGCTGCTAAACAACCGAGATTGATCAAGCGCTCTAGGCCACTGCTGCTTCACGACAATGCAAGACCACACACTGCACAACAAACAACCACTAAGTTAGATGAGCTATAATTGGAATGTCTGCGACATTCACCGTACTCCCCGGACCTTGCCCCAAAATATTACAATTTTTTCCGGAATTCGGACAACTTCTTACAAGAAAAAAAATACAACTCCGATGCGGCAGTCCAAGCCGCCTTCAAAGAATTTATTGATTCTCGCCCCCATGGTTTTTTTAGTAAAGGGATCAATGAACTTCCTATGAGATAGCAAAAGTGCATACATAACAACGGTGCATACTTTGATTAATTAAATATATTTTACAAAAAAATGACTTTATATTCCTCCCGTACAAAACGCGAATTTCATATGTAAGGTAATATTAACGTGACGTATTACGCAATAAAAAGGAAAGTTAAGATAGCTAAAAAATACATCCCATAGGCACATGACTCCTCCTCTCAATACTAAATGTTTTAAAGAAAAGGAACTTCGTGATAAAAATTAGACTTTTAATAAATACTAAAAGCAGATTTCGAAGAATTAAACATAATAAAACAATTTTCACAAAATAGCTTCAGAAATCGACAGTAAGATATAGTATGTAGATTTGAACCCCAAACTCCTGAAGATATTAATATTTAATTATTTTTGGTATTTTGAAGTCGGCTTTTAATTTTAATTATGCGTAGGCAAAGAATATATACATCACTTAATAAGTTTTGAGATGCTCGAAATTTAAAAATGGAACCCACCCGTGTTATATGTTTCTAAAAAACATTTGCGCGCTATGATATATTATGATTTTAAGTTTGGTTTCACCGAACAATTAAGTTTACAACAGTTACAATCAGCATTAGGAGACTCAGCTCCATCACGTGCAACAATTTTTAGGTGGTTTGCTGAATTCAAAAGGGGTAAAATTAAATCTTAAAAATGTCCAAAGAACCGGGGCCCCGCAAACAGCAGTAACGGCAGAAAATGTATGGACTACTGAAATGTTGGTGCGAGAAGACCCCCGAATCACGTATATGGACATCGAAAAGATTGTAGGCATTAGTTCGGGGAGCATTCATACCATCCTACATCAACATCTTGGAGTGAGAAAGCTTTGTTGTCGATGGATCCCTCATTTGTTCTCCGAAAGCGAAAACAGACTCGTGTGGATTGGTGCCATGAAATGCGTCTACGTTTTGAAAACGGGGCATCTCGGCGTGTTTCAGAAATCGTTACTGGTGACGAGACATGGATCTATCAATATGATCCGGAAAATAAAAGGCAATCATCGGTATAGGCCTATTCAGAAGGACACCGACAAAACTGCAAAGACCTCGCAACGTCGGCAAAAAATGGTGGCTAGTTTTTTTTCGCGGAGCGGACATTTGTCGTTTGACGTGGAAAATTGTAGGTCAGTCAACTTTGAATGGTATACTACAGTTGTATTACCCAAAGCTTTTCAAGCTGTGTGGGAGAGAAGACCAAATATCGGCCTTCGGGGAATCATGCTGCATGACGATAACGCCTCTTCACATACTTCCCTTAGAACAAAAGTATTTATTGCGGAATCTGGTGTTGAAACTCTAAGTCACACACGTTACAGCACGGACATAGTTCCTTGTGATTTCTTTTTGTTCCCAAGCGTCAAAGAAAAAATAAAGACAACTTTTTTTTCAAACGCCAAAGACGCCGTGGCTGCCTACGAAGAAGCGATTTCCGACCTATCAGATCAAGGCTGGCAAAAGTGTTTTCAGAGTTGGTTTAGGCGAATGGAACTTTGTATAGAGCATGATGGAGAATATTTTGAAAAGATGTAAAATAAATATTAATATTATCTAGAATACTTTTTGTATATCTCAAAACTTATTGAGTGACCTACGTAGTCTAATATTTTGACTCTTGAGAGTGGACTAAGTAATATATAACAAGCTCGAATGTCGTCTAAATAGTTAGATTTAAAACTTTGTCCCCTATTTTTCCACACTTAGGGTAAATTTTTTCCTTAAAAATTTGTATGAGACTACCTCTGAAATATAACCTGTACAGTAAAAGAAAGGATCATTAAAATCTATTCACAATAGCTATCTAGTAACACACATAAAAAAATAGAAACATACAGTCGAATTTTGAAATTTTAAAATCCTCCTCTTTTTAAAATCGGCCAAAAAGTAGGTAAAACACTATGTGGTAGCTAAAACTTGAATGGTAGGAGGCTGAATCGTAGCAGTCTTCTTTATCGACGATAGATGTAGGTGTCTATGGGACGCGGTATCCACATACCATCAGGTAGACTGTGTGCTCGTGTGTTACCCTTGTTCTATGTATACTACATATACATTTATACTATGTATACTGTGCCAGCCGGCTGTGCTGACACTTACTGGTACGTACTGGTTATCAGCGTGCTGCTGTTGTGCTTCGTGTAAGTAACAAAAATTTGAGACAGAATGATTTTAAATCAGCAAAGATGCAATTACTCACAGCGGGGTATTACATATAATTTAACTCTTTGTTTCATGATCCATAAAAGTTACGACGAACACGTTTCTCAATTATTATTCCCTGAGGTGATATTTACATTAACAAATTACGAATGATTATCTGGAATAGTTTAAAATATTATGATAGACCTTAATATTCTTAATTATAACTTCTATAAAATCTTGTTATCCATATATAAATAACCGTTAGCGTTCGACTTGAATTAGTTTAGTCAAAAACAATCATTATAATGCGAAATATATTCAAAAGTGTAACACTAGTGGGCCTGGTATTAATTGCGTGTTCTAGACTTATCCTTCTATAATCGTAAAATCCAAAACAAACAACAGGGTTAGTGAAATACCAAACGTTTCTGCTAAAAAATCTTATTTCCCATATCATCCTGTGGGTGTCGTTAGGGGTGACAAAAGGAAACGAAACAGGGCATCAGCATCTTCCTGAAAAATGAATTAAAACTGCCGTAGGCAACCCGCCTGCCAAGCGAGGCAACTATGGCAAATATCCAAGGAAGGCCTATGTCCGACATTTGGACTTTTTAGAGGCTGCTGTAATGAATTAATGAATGCAATACAAAATGTTAATAAGGGATCATGCGATGATTTTATAACAAATTCAAAAGCAAATACACTCAGATTCCTAGACAAAAAGGTGATACCAACTAACAAAAACAACAACTACTGCAGCTGAAATAAATATTAAAAATATAGTTGTTGCCTCGTGAAATTATTTTTGAATAAATTTGGAAGACTGATAATTTTATTTTTAATTTTTACTTCACAATCAGCTAGATGTTTTATCTTTTTCTTTTGTTTTTATTTATAATGCTTAAATGTTTTCGTTAGGTTGCTAAAATTGTCCAACATTAATTTTATACACGTACGCGAAGTATAAACATACCTATATACAAGAATTTAGGAACTCAAATGATGTTTCGCAACATAAAAGCACAAGACACACCTACGATAAAACTTTATTCCAATTATTGTTTTACGGCGTCATAAAGAGAACATTTACGAAAGCAAATCAAATAATTAGCTGAACGCCGCTGTAACCCAGTTTTAAAATTAAACTAGATAGTAACACGTGTTATCCACCGAAATTCGCAGAGTACGCAGAAACTATTGTTAGGTTACATAGCAAAGGATATCACAAAAAAATTTGTATAGTTTTTATTAATAATGTGTCTCAAAATAAGCGAATATTTTGCATTATCTTTTTTTTAACTAAACATAAGTGTGGTCATAAGTTTCCTCATAGTTACCGTGTAGTGGCGGTGTATGAGTATTCACTGCCCGATTCCCGTGGGTGTCGTACGAAGCGACAGAGTAAAATGAAACAGAAGATAGAAGAAGAAGCACCTTTTTAATAACAATTATAAAATAAAAAACTGCGGTTGCCAAACCGCTTGCTAAGCGTGGATACTATGGCAAATATCGCCCCTATGAGGCAATCTATGGGGGAGGCTTATCTTCAACAGTGGACTTTTGATAGTTTGTAATGGTAATGCTTTTAAATTTTAGTTTGAGAATCCGATTTGAAGTTCTGCGTAGGGAATATATGCATAATTAAAAAAAATATATATTTTTCTTCTTCTAAGCGTTATCCCGACTACTGCCTACTCATACGTCTCCGCTTTGCCTGGTCTGTAGGGTTCTTGGTAGTCTATTGGCTCACATATCCGATCTCACGACGTCGACCGAGCGCTTTTCGGACCTTCCTCGTGTTTTTTCCTGGTACCAAAGTATTAATAATTTCTACCGGCTTACATACTCGTAGGTCATATCCGTACCACCTTAACCAACTTTCGTAAAGCTTATCTGCTACGTCACCTACTTCAAGACTTTTTTTACATGGAGACCCAAGACTATTCCAAATTTAATTATTACATATTATGCAGTCTCGCATCGTAACGTCGCACGTCGAACGCAGCATTTTCATTTACATCACATGGAGCTCTTGAACATTTCGGTCCAAGATTGTAATGTCAAACAGGTATTATATAGCAATTAATTTATATTAAAGTATAGTATTGTAGGGAGGTAAAAATAAAAAGTAAAAACAAAAAAAATTGAAATATAATCGTGATAATTACATTACAGGAACCCGGATAGGACAAGCTTCGGAATGCTTCGTGTACTGGAAAGATCCTATGACGAATGACACCTGGGGCTTGAACTTTACTTCTCCCATTGATGCCAAACAATTTAGAGAATGTTGTGTAAGTACATATAAGCTTACCTGTGTTATAATATAAACGATAAACATCAACGCGTTATTATATTAACGTTATTATTATATATCGTTATACAAACATGTTTCTCCTACAGTCTGCTCATATGAGCATATTTTCTTGAGTTATTCTAAAGCCGGAAATTAAATGAAATAAATTTATAAACTTCGTAAAATGGTATATTTGAAGACATATAAGAATAACTTATTAAAAGATTATAATATAAAAAAAAATTTATAGGATAAGGGTGACAAACGAGCACACAGTCCACTTGATGGTAAGTGGTTGCTGTGGCCCATAGACATCTACATCTATCTTCGATTAAGAATCAAAATACAGATGCGTTGTCACCCGTGAGGACTAAGATGGAATGCCTCGTTTCCTGTAAAAAGGGTCTCCGGTTCTCTACACTCATCATATGAAACACGGCAGTATTAGGCTGCTATTTTACGCTGGTATTCTGTGAGAATGTGGTCCTTCCCCAGTCGATCCGACCCATTCATGCTACAACTATACTACTATTATAGCTGCAGCACGGCTCTACCACGTAAAAAGTATCGTAATTCTACCACTTTATTAGTTTGTTGTTTGCCTGAGGCGTTGTATGTTAAGTCACATGTGGATGTTCACTTTATCTGCCTTAACAGCAACATACAGACTTTATTTTTTATACGCGTTTATGGCACTGTACTTTACGAATGAAATGAGTTTCATTCCGCTCATTATATCGTAAATACTTCAAAAAAAATCAATTATTTTCGATATTATTGATATGATTATTTTTACTTCATTCACGGTGAGCATCCATGACTTCTAAAACCTTATCTCATCTTGATGAAAATACTTTTTTTTTACATTCCTACACTAGGATTTTCCCCTGTATCGTAGAGGCAGTTTACGCACATAAATTGCACAACAAACATCCGGACCCGGAACAATTATTTGTAGGCCATACAAATACTTGATCCGTGCGGGATTCGAGCCCGCTGTCCTCATCGCCACAATCCGATGCGAAGCCACAGCGCCACGGAGCCGTCATATTTCAAATATATGCACTGCGCATAACAATACATGATTTTCGTCAGAACAAGATAATTTTATAATTGTTAAACCCTTTTGGGTTTAGACAATTATAGCGATTATAAATAAATAAAAATATATTTTTCTTTTATTGCACACAAAGAACATTTTTTTATCTACAAAAATAAGAAGCAAGTAGCTAATTTTATTTTTACTTTTTTACTATTTTAGTCACCATCGTTCAAATTCTCGCGGAAGGCCTCTTCAAGCTATAGCTTAAAATTAGAACCTCCTGGGAGTAAGCAAAAATTTAAAACGAAAAGGAAACCAGTATCCACACCAGCTAGTCCAAACCGTTCAAGGTAAAAATCTTACGCTCTGATCTCTGTATTGCGAATGGATTATTTCATTTAAACATATAAACATGAATTACAGCTTAACCTACGGGCGAGAGCCACAATGTACCTGCATGACGCAAGAACAATACACAAGGCTAAGAGCCCAAGATCCGCGATATCGTAAGTGCTAAAGGACAGTAACCAAGTAAATATAACTAAAATCTTTGCCCGTAAGTACTAAATCTTCCTATGGCATAGGTTCATCTACTCTACCGCGCACAACCGCTCGCGCCATGGAAACGGACGCAGCAGATGCTAGTGGAACAGCAAATCGTTCCGAGAAGGTCGCTGCAGCAACTTCATCTACATCTCTATACGACAATGTCACAAATTCGCAGCCCACAACTCAACAACCGCCTAAACGTAAGTTTTATGGAAAATTTTAATCAATTGCTTCCCTTCATAACATTCTTTTCTCAAATGACAGAAAAAGCACTAACAACTACAAAGAAAGCAAAACTGATTACTAATGGAAAGGTGAATATTCGATGGTGTCTGAAGAGTATCTGTCATCATACATTGAGTACTTAGAATCGGTCTTATTTATAATACTAAAAATATTTCCCAAAATATTATAAGTCAACATTAATTAAAGCCTGAAAAGGTTTATAACTGAACGCTGAATATTTATCCCATAAATCTTAAGTATTTGGTGTGAGCGTCACTGTGGCAGAAAAATATTTGTTTATATTAAAAATAGTAGTAACATCAACCATTTGTTAAAGAAATATTAATTTACAATTTTAAAATCTATGCTTACACGGAAACTTGTAATTAAAATAAATAGTTATTAAAATAATAACCATCTAAAATAAATTCAACTGAAGTTACGTATATGTATATCATGATGATGGCGATAAAAATTACTGGGGTCGTGTCAGAGAAGAGTAGATACTCAAATAATATTTATTCTTTATTTCACACCACTAAAATAAATAATAATATTTCGATCTTCCCTAAATATGCACCGTGGTCACGTATACAGTTTTCTGTTCATCTAAACTACTAAGAAAATTCGTCGACTACTGTCCTTTAGACACCGCAGAAATCTAGAAATAATAAGCAGCCAGCGTGCCTTCTTTGTTTCCAAACCCTCTTGCCTTTTAACTTTTCTTTGATTATTAGAAACAAGTTTAAATCACAACATTCTAGGTAAGGAGAATATGGTGGGTTAGGTAGGATCGACACGTTCTTGTATTAAAAAAACGTCGAGTGTTCTGGCAGACGTTTGTAGTGCTGCGTTGTCTCGTGCCAGAGAAGGTCCGAATTTCTAACCTTGATAGCTTGTTGTTGTGGAATCCAAGAAATATTTTTTTCCATTCCTTTTGGATCCCCCTTTTCTTATAAACATTCACGTAGTAGTGGTATGCTGTGAATATATAAACTGCAGCAGCCGTTAGCGCCTTAATATCCATTTTAATAAATTCGTCCGCACATTGACCTGAATCGAAGCAAACTGGACCAACGTATGGATGCCATCACAAACCCTTGCCTAATATTTTTGCCATAATATTCGCCACAATGTTAGCCAACGCGAAGAACTGCCATAAAATTAATAGGCGCTAATCCTGACAGTCTTTCTGCTCATCGTTAATCTTTTGTGGTATCTATTTCGAATAACGCTTACGAAGAGAAAGCTTAAGCCCTCTATAATATTTTTTCGATTGCTTGAGCATTTTCTTGAGCAACCATGGTTATCCTGCCTTCTCTTTATCTTCAAGACTCCCCTTGTTCGTTTTGGAATAAAGCAAACTTAACTAAAATTGTTGCTTTTGAACAATCTGCTTCACCAAAATTCGCTTTAACCCTTTTTCAAAAATATAGTTAATCATACGCGAATAGCACATCGACTAAGCTCGATCCCTGCGAGTGAATACACGTCACATTCTCTTAAAAAACAGCATTTGCAAAAAATTTTAATAAAAAAATTCCAATAATCACTTCAATATCTAGATTTTATTTGCCAGTGTCAAAGAAATAATTATCTAACTGTTTGGTGTGCCCCGTATAATGTAGACATAAAAAAAGATAAATTTTAAAAAATAACGCGGTCTGTAGTTTACATACCGTTTAGATACAGATGTAGGTTTTTTTTTATAGGATAAGGGTGACAAACGAGCACACAGTCCACCTGATTGTTAGTAGTTGCAGCGGCCCATAGACATCTACATCTATCCTCTATTACAAATCAAAATGTAGATGCGTTGTCACCCGTGAGGACTAAGATGGAATGCCTCATTTCCAGTAAAAAGGGCCTCCAGCCACCTGCACTCACCAAGCGAAACGCAGAGGTAAACCTCTACTTCACGCTGGTTTTCTGTGAGGTCGTGGTACCAGCCCGGTTCGAGCCGGCCCATCCGTGCGACAGGAAAAGCTGCCGCGTGGCTCCACCACTGTTCTTTATAATATTATTCTTTACAATAGTTACGAATGAATAGTAAAACATCATATGTACAATTTCCAGAAAAATTCCACATTAAAAAGATTTACAAGAACCACGAACGAAGAAGAAAGAAGTCTTCAAATATCTGTATCATTCAATTATCATTTCAAATATCTTTTTAAAAGACGCACCTATTTCTTGTAAACCTATGTACTTTATAGCCATCTAAAAATCTAGAATAGGTACAAAATTTTAAAGTAATATAATATTATAATTATTATGTAATATGAACATTATCAATTGAGGGTTTCTAAAAACAATATTCATAAGTCGTAGGATTGTTAGAAGTAATTTTTAAATAAAACAATAGATTTTTTAAATCGTCAAAATATTTTGTTTTTATTTTTTTACTATTTTAGCGGCTGCTCGTCAAACTGAAAGTCAGCCACCGGCACGTCCTCCTAAATCACAAGAGACTTCTACGATGACTACAAACACATCTACAGCACCTAAAACTGTCACTGTTTCAGTTGGTACACATGGCACTAATGTAAGTTGTATTTTGTGATTTTGGTTGTATAGAAAAATTAAAAAAATGAGTTTCTTAAATTATATAACCATATCAGAGCCAGCAAACTCTTTTAACCTATTTTTAGCTATTAAACATTTAGCAAGAACTTTCAAGTAACACTAAGAAAATAACTACGTTTCAAACCAAAAATTTTCATAATAACAAAAACAAATAGATTAAAATTCAAGTATCAGATATTACAAGTGTGAATTTATTATTAAGTACTTGTATTTTTCTAACTAACTCTAATAAAATTAATATTTGAACTTTACAGACGAATGATGAAACTCAAGGAACTACCGGTGGCGGTACTACTACGCAACATAGTCAAGACCTTAAATCCGAGGGTGTTCAAGCTGGCGGAACACTGACTACATCGAAATCTTCATCAACATCAACACGTTCCGGAAAAGAGCATCTACAACACATGCCGAAGAGTGTCGACTACGGTGACGGTAACGAATCGGTAAGTTCAAAATTGTATCTTAAGTATGAATATGTTATTTATTTATTTCCCTTGCTTATACCAATTTCTTATTATAATTTCCAGTCACGTGAGTCTGATAAACATACGATGCACCACCATAATGTCATCAACAATAATACTTCAGGATCGCGTCGAACAAAATCCAAGAGCACGGAAGACATGAATATGGGTATGTATGACTTTGTCAGAAAAGTACACCGAAAATTATTAAATAAAAAAAATCGTTAAATTATCAACATTTATGTTGTACCCTTCAAAGTAGCCTGTTGACGTATCACATATTATACACTAGCATAATTTCCAATCTTCAAAAAAATTTTAATTAGATTCATTTTCAATGAAAACCTTCAGCCCTTTCAACTAATTTTGTTTTGTAGAATTAATAAAGTAAAATGGGTATTGTGTCATATGGTATGTAATCGATTGTACATATTTTTTTACCTCTACAATTCCGACTACTAGTACACTTAATTTATTGAAAATAAAAATTATGAAAATGTACTAGTGAATTGAATTAATATTTAGAAATATACTTTAGCAGCCGACCTGTTGGAGGATTCAGAGGAGACCGACTAACCTCCCTATGTCAAGTCACTGTCTAATGAACAAGATTACTGACGCTTCAGGCGCCATCCTTATGCAGCGATGTTGCATACGTAACAGAGTATTACTGTTGTTTGCAGATTCTCTCGATTTAGATAGTATTTTCATTTTCGGTATTTTAAGTATAATAAAAAAAAAACGCTATTTCTATTTGAAATTATTTCAATAGTACTCTAAACAGACTGTTCGAAGATCAAGTAATACACTAGAATGAATGAAGTTAATTATGCCTACATCATACATGATACCATTAAATGATGCGTATCTAATTTAAATACGATTGAAAATGTTGAATTACCTTGATTGGGTTGAAACCAACCTAGACGCCCTCGAGCTTAGGCCCAAAGTAGCCAAAGTACCACCTGGTGGGGGATTGTACCGCACAAACACTGGCTTATAAGAAGTAAAAAATTGAATTCGTAAGACAAAACTAAATAAATATATTATTCCTCTCTTTCAGATTCTAACACACTTAAACGCATGCTTAAGCCGATGCCGTCAACAGAAAGCCCCGTGACATCTCCAGAAATGGGCCGCCGACGGTATGGGGGCACGGGGCCTTGCCCTCCTTCATGTGGATCGTATGGCCACCGAAACTTGCAGCATATGCATGGCCATGGACATTATTCGCACGTGGTTAACAACAATAGCCGACAGAGCTCACAACGGTATACTTCAGCTAGGTAACATTAATATAAAAGGCCATATTCTAGGAAATTTTTATTTAATGACTTTGATCGCACGACTCATATTTTATTCGACTAGGTTATTTACCATTGATACTATATAATATCCGTTCACTTGTGGAAACCCGATGTACCGTACTTTCACTATTTTTGTACTTGATCAAATAGCCAATAAATTTGTGAGAGCTTAGTAATTTTATAACTCTGTAATAGCTGTTGGGTATCATATCTTAAACGCCTAACATCATTCAACTAATACAAATCAAATGGTGACCTGTTTATCCGGTTTATATTCGTGACGATGACTTGAAACTGTATGGAATTTAAGACTTATGGTTTACATTTCAGTAGGGATCCTGTTCTGCCTTGGAGGTTCTCCGAGTTTGCACTGCTTTTCTACTTATTTAAAAGTTGGTTGGCTCGCCATTACGTGGATTGTTAAACTTAAAAAAACTACAGGAGCAATTTTTTTTACAAACTTAATTTAAACATTCTTAAGAATCTACATAAGAAGACAAAACTAATATGTATATACTCGTATTATTAGTAAATATGATAACTATAAGTTGCATCCATCATAAAATAACAATATTTGTTTATAATACGTCATATATAAATCAATAAGAGTCAAAGAAATAAAAGAGATATTTAGCACAATGTCAAAATTTCATTTCATTTGCTCAATTTAAATTATTTATGACATTTATATCGGAAGAGTACACACTAAGCCTATTTTTTTATTAATTCCATTAAAAAGGAGATAGTACTTAAATAAATACACAATTAAATAGTTATATCATATTAAAATACACATAGAATTACATTAAACCAGGTTATTTACGTAGTGGTCAGTATTTATTACTAAAGTATCTCAGCAACAAAGGTATAATTTGAACATGTACAGCCGTGGCGTCGGCGTGGGTGCTGCACCGAGCGGCTATCCAGGGCGCGGTCTATACTTGGAATTAGGAGGTGGTGAGCGAGATCTTTCACCACCTTCAGACAACGTAATGTTTGACAACCAGTGCTACGCCACTACGCCGTCGTCGTCAAACGGAAATTCTGATCAAGAGCCGTGTCAGCGTCGCGATCTGCGACAGCATCATCATGTGGTAATTTTCCTTTGTTTGAAAAAAGAATCAATAAAGTCTATTAAGTATAATGTCACTTTTACGAGTACACAATATGTATCCAGACCTGAAAACAAATAATATTTGTGGTCTTATATAATTGTAACTCTGGAACAATCTCTTGGCTCCAATTACAATATTCGAGTTCAGGACTGTCACAAACTTGAACATTATTAGTAAAAGCTATCGACTGATAAGAATAATTCAGGCTATCATATTTTGTTTTACACAATGAACTTGATTGATATCTGACAACTCTACATAATATAAAAACGAGATTTACAAACCGGCTGCATGGCGTGCAACCGTGGCAAATATCCCACCTATGAGGCAATCTATGGAAGAGACCTATATTCAACAGTAAACTTTGATAAAATGTAATGATAATGATGATATGCAGCAATGCAGTCTCGTGCTAGCTTGTATAATAACTAGGAAATTTTATATATTAAATTCAATGATGTCTATTAATATAATTCATATTAGCAAATTAACTAAATTTACTTTTTCCCCAACTCCTTTCTGTGCCTACACGGTATGTTCGATTTTGAAGGGCGAGGTGCTGTTGGATTCAACGGCCGTATTTTATAGTAATAATACCAATTCGACATTGATTAAAGTGGCAAATCTGATGCTGTCGTTTTATTGGTCAATAATTTTCTTGTTAAGCCTTTATAGTCGCAACTTTTAACTAACTGTGAATCCGTTTGCTTGACAGCAAAAGCCATGCCTATCACGTCAGGCATCCCAATCCAATACTACACCGGCTCCAGGTTCACCCACCTCACGCCTACTCCTAGAATACGAGATGCATCTTCGCAACACTTTAGCAAAAGGCATGGATGCTGAAAGCTACAGCTTGCACACATTCGAAGCCTTGCTGACTCAAAGCATGGAAGATCTAGGTAAATGATTTTTTAAATATTCTTATAAATATTTATATAAAAGCGATAAGGGGCTAATGCTGCTGGACACCTGTAACCAATTTTAATAAAATTCAGTACTACGTTGAACTAAAATATGTAAATATAATCCCTTCTACAAGATAAATAGATGATGAAACATGAGAACATATAAAAGGCAACACCTAAACATATGCACTGTTAATGAAAAAAAAAGTGTAAGAATATCTACTATTTCGTGGGTGTCATGAAAGGCAGCAGAGGGAAACTAAACAGAAGATTGGCAGCAATTTCTAATAATAACTAAAAAAATAAATTATAACATCTAAGTCTGAAAGGCGTGGCGATTATCTAAAAACCTTTCGTATGGGTGCAGTAATATAGACCAGCATTGGAATATGAATGGTTATTTATACGAGTTGATGAATACAATACATATAAAATATATACCCAGATCAAAGCAAAAGCTGGTATCTAGTCTAGTAAGAAATAAGTTTTAATAATTTTAATAATTAACGCATTATACACAATATTGGTCTTTTGTTCAGAATACAACGATAATATGCCGCCTTCAAATCAGCGGAGCCCATATCCACCACGCAGGCGTAAGTATTGAGTTGAGAATTTATTAACGTATTTCTTGTATTTCTTATTCAAGCATCTGTTATGTTTTTACATTCGTATATAAAATGATTTTGTGAAGATTGCGTAAAAGAATCCGAATCCGAAGAGGCGTCAATGGGAAATGCCAGAAAAATCTCATGATATTCGATACATTTCACTTAGATGTGAATTAACTGCAAACCAACAATATTTTACTAAAAAAAGCTCAGAACATCAAATCAGGATCAGGAGTAAGGACTGGTTTTTCAATCCTCAGATAAAATTTATTCATGGAATAAAATACGAAATAAATAAATTAATAATCGCAGTTGTATGAATGAGAAAGCAATTGTTTTACTTTTATATTCAATCAGGTTATAATTTATTAGATGAGATTTTTTCTATAATTAATAGAATCAGGCGTTACTTTGCGGAAGTCCATTATATTAAATTTGACAAAAAATTACTTTGCGGATGCGGAGCAGATGTACGCAAAGTAATTTTTTGTCAAATTTTGAGATTTTTTCTGACAATTGAAAAATCTGCCTTAGTGCCAAAACTCAATCTTTTTAATATCTAGGTTCAAAACTAACAATAACGTGAGCTATCGGGTAAACTCTGCTTGGCTTGGCATTTTGTGGTAGGAGTGCTTTACGACTGCAGAATGACTTTAATAACTAAAGGCAATTTTTTTTATAGGATGAGGGTGACATACGAGCATACAGTCCACCTGACGGTAAGTGGTTGCTGTGGACCATAGATATATACATCTATCCTCGATTACGAATCAAAATGCAGATGCGAGCCAACCCATTCGTGCTACAACTAAACCAGTAATATAGCTGCAGCATGGTTCTACCACGTATAAAAAATAAAACATTTGTGAAAAGAATGACTGGGACAAATAAGAAGAGTTGGTTTTAAAGAATTAATTAATAATTTCTAAAATTTTCATGTATTATATTTAAAAGTGTATTTTGTTTATGAAGCCCTATCATATAATTAAGTATACAGCTCCTCACTAATAACTGGACTAGACGCAAAAAAATTTGCGTTTAGTGCTGCATACCGGATGGTAACCGGACTCCTGTTGCATTTGTTTCTCTATATACAACTTTATACACCGTAGAACGGTTCGTAAGAAAACGAAGCGTATTTAAATATAGAAATCAAATAAACTATGTTTTCTTTTATTTATGAAACTGGTCCAACGAAGGTGTCATCTTCGTTGGACCAGTTTTCGTTGGGTTGTTAATATTCGAACTTCGATTAAGTGTACGGTAGGCTTTTACGGTAAAATCTATTGGTTCTCGGTAAAGAAATTACAAGCTCTTGATACATGGAAACTTTATGGAAACCAGCTATGAGTGTCAGTGGTCTAAAAGAAGATTAGAACACTCTCTTTTGATATATATTTGATGTTGAAACGCGAAAACATTTACATTTTTGGCAGACAAAACTGCCAACGACAGCAATATCACAGTTGAAGTCAAATAACTTATCACAAGGAAAAATGGGCCAGATTTGTGGAAAATTATAGTGAAGATGAAATAAAACTAGTTGTTATAATTTAAAATTAAAAATTTTGTACAGCCGACTTCAATATAAGTTATTTAAGATGTAATAATCCATATGTAATAATCCATATTGAATAAAAATCATTCTATTCTATTCTATTCTATTCTAAGAATAACTTAAAAACTATTGGTCTGACCTTGATCAAATTCATATGGGACCACACGAGAAGTACCAGCTTTCAAATAAAAAAAGAATCATCGAAATCGGTTCACCCAGAAAAAAGTTCTGAGGTAACACACATAAAAAAAAAAACGAAAAAAAAAAAAAACATACAGTCGAATTGAGTACCGGCTCCTTTTTGGAAGTCGGCAGAAAAAGGCGGGTTATTTGCAATACCTCTCGAATATCAATCAGCTTCGCGTGCAGTGTTAAGAGCTTGATATAGGCTAAACAATAGAGTAATTTGACACTGAAGTCATGCAAAAGTGTGATTGTTTATTGGATAGAACTTGAAATTAAAACAGATTTTTAAAACATTTTAAAACAGGTCCAGCTTCACAGTGCTCCGGAGGTGGAAGCCGCTCATCCACCCTACCGATGCCTCATCGCCTTGGTGTTGAAAGACAACACAATGTCAAATCCGATCGAGATGGATACTACAGGTATTTTTTATTACAAGTTGACTAAATTAAATGGTTTTTTTGCCACACAAAGTTTTATTAGCAGATTTAAAATTATCTTAATATTAACATAGCTGGTGTAGCCATTAGTAGTAATTTAGTCCTTAACTTAAACTTTTTGGTTGGAATATAATATAATATTTGGGTGACAAAAGTGTTACGGGTTCACCTAATATTACTGCAACCCATATATACCTGCAACTTATTTTTGGCACCAGGCAACGCAGAAAGTTTTGCTACAATTTTTTTTTAATGAGGCACTGGCCATTTATAATTTATTTTGAAAATATGATTATTTATATGCAAAGCACAGTCGACTAACTTTCAGATAAAGTATTAAATTAGACAACCTTTGACGGTCGTTAAGAAAGAAAATAGCAGTAAAAATATTAATTGAAGAGAACTCAGCACATAATTCTGATTGGATTAGGTCATAATATTTTACTCGAACACCTTCACCTGAGGATGACAGTTTCGCGTTGAGTGTCACTCAATGAAAAACATCTGAGCATCGGCTCAGATGCAAGATCGCGTACTAAAAATAATGAAATAATTTCTACATGCATACTGGATTCTAAAGGCGGGCCTTTCTTCTTTTTTCTTCTTTCTTTGATGCACTAGACCTTAGTATCAACGTCACTAGCTATTGTCACTATTATTGCGGAAATTATTATATTATTTTAAGTTTTAAGTAGGTATTTAATTTTTAATCAAAAGTTTAATTTTTACTTCTACTACTAATATACAATAGCTTATCTTAACATACTTATAGCGAAACAGTGTATTTAATAGATTCGTCAGGTATTGGTATTACATAAATATGTTTATATTAGTTACATTTTCCGAAGCTTGTTGCATTTAATAATTTCAACGGTGCTGACGAGAATCAATCTTGGTTTTCTTTCGTACTCATAAATTTCAAGCTCTTAATATTGGTTTTTTATTGAACTTCACCTATTGGACTTAACATTTGTTATGATAGTACAAAAACTGAAGAAGTCAACTGTACCAAATTTTATAATTAATGGTTGATAGACACTGTGACTGGAAGACTCATATACAGTACGTATGCGAGAAGCTTGAGAGATTTGTTTATGCTATAAAACAGCTGCAGTTGACAGTGTCTACTGAAGCGGCTAGGTCTCCTCAGTGCTTTCATACGATCTCTTTTTGTGGGGCAACTCGATTGAGGTTGGCAAGGCGTTTCGTCTTTAGATAGTTGTAAACCTTTATTTCACAAATTTCACATACTGCCTCTAGTTTGTATGTACATACGGGAACTTTGTGTTTTTGTCAAACAGCATCCACAATATTTCACCATTAACTTAAGTTTAGTCAGTAGAAGTGCCATGCCAAGAAATAAATTTAAACTCTATCTGCCTCAACGCAGGCTTGATATATATAAAAGAAATGTATTTATAAATGCCATTAGAGTTTATCATAAATTGCCTAATACTTTTAAAATGGCTGGCAACAAAACGTTTTTATAGTTTGAACGAATATACATAGCTGCACTAAAAGTATCGAATGGAATATTTCCACTGTTCCTGTCATATTAAAATCTTTTTAAATGAAAATTCCTTGGTTTTAAAAATCGAATACCATTTATTTATTTAAAAAAGATTCTCAGTCTTGTCACAAGGTTTTGTCAAACTTGTTTAGTCGTTGAGAAAATGGAATTGACTCGAGAAAATTCAACTTTCGACGTGCTTAAACACAAAAACAGTGTGTTGACCGGATGATTTCTGCATTTGGTGATGAAGCCCCATCCAAAACCACAATTTATCGCTCATTTGCTGAATTTCAACGTGGACGTGTCAAGCTCAGTGATGATCCCCGTAAAGGTCGTCCAAAAACTGCAGTCACCCAAGAAAACGTTGATGCTGTGCGTAAACTGATTGAGGAAGATCGACATGTGACATACAGCGAAATTCAGGCAACTTTAGACATTAACATGAGTCAAATACAAATAATCTTGCATGAACAATTAGGTGTAAAAAAGTTGTTTTCCCGATGGATACCGCGTTCGCTCTGTGAAGAGCAAAAAGCGGCTCGCGTTACTTGGTGCGTCAGAACTCTCGAAAGATTCCACGCAGGATCCTCAAATGCTGTATACAACATTGTATTAGGTGACGAATCCTGGATATATGCGTACGAACCCGAAACAAAAAACCAGTCACGAGTTTGGGTGTTCGAAAATGAGTTAAAGCCAACAAAAATTGTTCGTTCACGGAGTGTTGCAAAAAAAAATGGTGGCCACGTTTGTCTCCAAAACCGGCCATGTTACGACTATTCCTCTTGAGGGACAAAGAACGGTTAATGCAGAATGGTATGCTAGCATTTGTTTGCCACAGGTCGTTTCTGAACTCCGTAAAGAGAACTGCAACCGCCGCATCATCCTCCATCACGACAATGCGAATTCTCACACCGCACACAGAACAAAAGAGTTTTTAGAGCAAGAAAACATATAATTATTAGACCATCCGCCGTACAGCCCCGAACTAAGCCCTAATGATTTCTATACTTTCCCTAAAATAAAGAATAAATTGCGTGGACAGAGATTTTCATCCCCTGAAGAAGCTGTGGACGCCTACAAAACGGCCATTTTGGAGACCCCAACTTCCGAATGGAATGGTTGCTTCAATTATTGGTTCCATCGTATGGAAAAATGTGTCAAATTTCGCGGAGAATACTTCGAAAAGCAATAAATACATTTTTAAATAGTAATGTTGTGTCACTTCCTTGATTCCCGAAATTTTCAGTGCCGCCTCGTCTTATAAAGAAATCTAGAATAATGGTGAAATACGGAAAAACTGATTAATTTTTTTTTAATATTATATATTTATTTTATTTTTTGACATTTTTTTTTAATTTTTTTATATATTTGGCATTTATATATAAACCTTTAAAAACTTGACGCTAAAATATTTTTAAATAATTACTTAATGTTTTCTTTAATAATTTACCTTATTTAATTGTAATAATATTATTTCTTTGTTTATTGTAATGATATTGCACGTCATTATCATGGTAGAATGTAAGGTATCATTAATAAATAACATCATAATATTATGTACTTACTACATCTGGCAATAAATAAATTTGAATTTGAAAAAAAAAGTATTAAAATAAAATTCATAAAAGTTTAGCTTCCACTTACCGATTTTTATAGGGTGGAAAACTGAAAATAAATCTGCACAATTGTGCACCACATAAGAAGATAATTAAGAAAAGTGGGGAAATTATTTCAAGTTTGATACTTAATTAAGCACATAACGGACCACGAACCATGCTAGAACACATCACAGAGCACTTAACCATCCATTATCTACATGTTATAACTTGGTAGCGAAAATTCGTGAATTTATTACCATGATAATGCACAACCAACATATCCAACTAAAATGCTTTTTTCAATAAAACAGTGGCCAAATTGTGTCGTTTTTATATTATATTATATTGCGACTTATTCTGCGAAGCGATGCAACTACTGATGCGGTCACCATTTTGGGTATATTCGGCCCGTAATTTCTGATATGGTTATTATGGTCATATGTTGCTGTCATAAGTATTTGAATTAGTATTGAATTAGGAATATAAGTAACTTATTATCTTTCAGCTAATGGCTAGTTAATTTATTTAAAGCTCTAGGTGTTCCCTCTTATAAGTCTATCATCAGCAGACATTATGAAAAATAGCCCACCTTTTTAGTTCCGTAATCTGATAAAAGCAGCTGTTAACCAAATATGTTACCCAAAATCATTAACTACCTACATACCAAATTTCTTAGCAACCCGTCCAGTTGTTTTTGATTTTTTTTAATAACTGGCTTTACGGCTCTTGGTTCTAGCCCTTCTGAGCCTGAAGTTACAATGTATAATTATTCTTCATAGTACACTGCTTCACAATATGTTGATGCGTCACATTGTGCCGCCCATGGGAGGTTTTGACTGCAACTTGAGCCACCAGACAGCGAACAGTTGGCGATGGTATCTCAAGGCGTCTAAGCAGACAGACAGACATCTTGAGAATCACATCACCATCAAAGTCTACTTCAAACCATTACTTAAACAATAATATTATACAGGAGCAGCAAACCGCCGCCGGTCAAGTTCTCGCCAAAAATCCAATTGTTTTTGAGTAAATCGTAAATACACATAGCGACAGACAAAACTGTTAAAACACTAATTTGGCTTCAGTGTGCTTTATAATATAGTCTCATGGGCTTATCAAGGAAATTTGAAAATTATAGTCATAACTTTTTTGTAGTGTTAATATATTAAATTAAACAAAGGAAATATGTCAGCTTGCGTTCGTGTATAATTTGTTAAACCTGCATTCTCGTATTGTTGTTGTGTATCCTCATTCATAGTTTATTGATGAAAGTGTCAATTTGCATTTTTTTGTTGTTGTAGCGACCGTAATGAGCTGATGCGGGAACGCGAAAGGGATCGAGAGCGAGGATATCTTAGTGATCACAATACGAGGTTTGATTACGCATCTCTTTTAATTAAAATGACGTTTTGTAACAAAGAGACAAAATGAAATAAAGACCTAATTAACATGTTCACAAAACAGTAAAATTTATGTAGCTTTTAGATGTTAATTTTATTTTGAAATATGATATAAAGTTGTCACATACACGAAACAGTGTTATTGTTTATGTGGCAAATGGGTAAGAAATTTAATATAACAATAAACATATATAATACCAAATGTATTATGTTAATTGACTCTATACAACATCCGTTCCTTCCAATTTGAATAGTTTTTTTAAATGAAATTTATTTTGACTAAATATATGGATTACGTTGAAATTAAGACTACAATTGAACGCTATATTTTGTCTAATTCAGTTAAGAAACTTTTGAATTTATGATGCTGCTACTATTAGGGTTCCTTGTATGAGAGCGGAAAACTAAAACTATTTTTCTTTTATCAGTTTGTATTTACTAATTATGATATTAACATTAAACAATAAATGTCATAAATATTACATGTTTTACTTGATAATAAATGCTATAAAGTTTTCATAATAATAAGTGAGTTACAAAAACTTTTGACTAATTCAATTTTATAAAAAAAACATAAACTAATAATTAAATATAACTTGTAGTACTATATTATATAATATATAATATAAATGAAGAATATACATTTTTAAAGTAAAATAAAATGTTGTTATAGAGAATTTACAAAAATTTGGAATCGATCCATGCCCAAACTTGCTCATAAAAGTGTCTGCATTTCCACGTTCTATATCCAGTATAAAACGTTGAACCTGAAACGATCCGTAGCCCTTATCAGAGACTTTAATTAAATAATTTAATTATTAATAATTATTAATTATATTAAAAATAACCGAATGAAACAAATATTGAAAAGATATAAATAAATAAATGATTAAAAAAATTGTACAGGGATCGGAACCGAGATCGTGACCAAGGATATTTGAGCGATCATCAATCAAGGTGAGTTCATAAAAGCATTTAACACATGTACTTTTTATTTGGTATTTGTGAACTTAATAACAATATTGTATGGTTGGTAAACGACAACCGGAGACTCTTTCCAAGATAGAATATATTTTAGATCAATTCTCTTAGTTTACAGTGGTAGAGCCACGCGGCAGCTTTTGCTGTCGCACGGATGGGCCGGCTCGAACCGGGGTGGTACCACGACCTCACAGAAAACCAGCGTGAAGTAGAGGTTTACCTCTGCGTTTCGCTTGGTGAGTGCAGGTGGTCGGAGGCCCTTTTTACTGGAAATGAGGCGTTCCATCTTAGTCCTCACGGGTGACAACGCATCTACATTTTGTTTTGTAACAGAGGATAGATGTAGATGTCTATGGACCGCAGCAGCCACTTACCATCAGGTGGACTGTGTGCTCGTTTGTCACCCTTATCCTACAAAAAAAAGTCTTTAATGAAGACAATATACCTGCATTTTTAATTCTTAACCAAGAATAAATGTTGATGCTTTTGAGCTACAGTATCCGTTTAAGCTCTAAAAACAATGTACCGGAAGAAAATGAAAAAATGAACATGCTTAGAATTGTCCTATTGTCAAAATCTTCGCAATAGGTTACCGAAGTCAATCTGATCAGTTATAGCAAAAATTACCAAATACAAATAAAGTATATACTATATTATACAATATAAATAAAGTATATACTATATTATACAATATAAATAAAGTATATACATTGTTAAAGTAAAACAAAATGTTCACATTTATACAGAAGTTACAAAAATTTTGAATAAGTCCAGGCTTGTTTGAGCCCATTAAAGTGACTGTATTGCCACATTGTATGGCCAGTGAAATACATTAAGCCTAAAAATGTCTATAGTGGACCTGGTGGAACTTTTCAAACACTTGTATTAAAATAACCGAATATAAATTATATTTTTTTTTGTACAGGGATCGGAACCGAGATCGTGACCAAGGATATTTAAGCGATCATCAATCAAGGTGAGTTTTTATTAAAGCATTTAACACCTGCTCTTTCTATTTGATGATTCATATTTTTTTTATATAGGACAGGGTGACAAACGAGCATACAGTCCACCTGATGGTAAGTGGATGCTGTGGCTTATAGACATCTATATCTATCCTCGATTAAGATACAAAACGCAGATGCGTTGTTACCTCTGAGGACTAAGATGGAATGCCTCGTTTCCAGTAAAAAGGGTCTCCAGTTCTTTACACTCACCGTACGAAACACAGCAGAATTGAACTGCTATTTTATGCTGGTATTCTGTGCGAATGTGGTCCTTCCCCGGTTGAAACACCCCATTCGTTCTACAACTGTTTGGTATCCTATGAATGAAAAGATAAATAAAATGATGTGTATAGACGCTTTCATATATTGTCTAAAGAATACATAGAAACAATATAGAGACGCTCATTCGTTCTATTCGTTATTCATGCTTGACGTAACTTTTCTGAGATCTGATAGATTAGTGACAGGCGCAAGCTCAGTGTTAGGAACAAAAGCCTGGATGTGATAAAAACTCCAGAGGCGAATACAAAACAACCAGATTTGAAAACCAACGTGGTCCTTCGCTGCTGTTCGTATGATGAATCTCAAAGTCACACAGTATGCGATGGATAGGGGATCTATAAGTACAGTATCATCTACAAATACAATTATCTGACTGTTTTTGATAACAGGTTACACACGTTACTAAAGTAAAGCATAAAAAGTATAGGATTCAAAACACTGCTTTATGGAATGCCGGACTTCATCGGTAGCTCCCCAGACTTATCTTTAGAACCAGGAAATTTAACGAACTGTTTCCGCCGAACTAATTTCTGCCTTTTAACACACTGCTTAAGTGATTCCAAGAAAGTGTAATGGAAACTATATCAAATGCTTTTTTTAGGTCAAAGAACATACATAAACTTTATTACCTTCTATCTAATGTATTTGTAATATTAGTGACCTCGTTAAGCAGACCACCTTCCGTATTTATACACCTTTGGAAGTCATAATGAATTTAGCTTAAAATTCAAATTTTATTAAGATTTTTTTTATTAAGATAAATTTGTGTCATCGTTGTCTTTACTTGTTATATGTAGGTATATTTATGTAATATTTACCAACATTTCCAAAGGTTATTTAAATTGTTTAGTATTTGTGTTTTATAATTTAAAGCTCTTAAAATCGTGATCGCTACGTTTGTGTTGCACCGTATCACAGATATTGATTTAACTGAAAGTTATAGGTACAAGGGTTGTTGTGGTTGTTGTAAATTTTAATGAAGATACTTAGCTACTATAGCTTATAACTATCTAAACGTGTACGTTAAAACACCTGTGTATGTCATATCTTGCAAGGTAATTTTAAGCAACTTCCTTATATTTTTTATACATACAATAAATTTAGTTTAAAAAAATGACCTGCAGCAGGCAAAACACAACATTCTACTCTCAGAGGTATTTCTAACGGTTACTAGTGTATATAAAAATGTCATTATAATTATTTTCTGTGGGTACTTAATCTTGCAAGCATTTCATGTGTGTGAATTGTCGTCTCTACTTACTGTGTATGTTAGTAGGTACTCGGATGTAATAATTTTCCAAGATAAAGGAATCACCTTACGTCGTAAAAGCAATTAGTACTCCGGCGAGCGAATCCAAAGCGAATATTGATTTTAAAATTTACCGAAGATATATACATTGCTTTACGGATAATAAAACTAGGCCCTCGATATAACCGTTCTTTTATCAGTTCCTTGTGGAACCCTAAAAACCTGATTATTTTATATTTTTTGTTTAATAAATATGATATTATCACATTGAACCATAAATATCATTAATATTAAATGTTTTGCTTAATAATAAAATTCAATAAGTTTTAATGATAATTAGTGAATGATAAAAAATTTACTTTTATATTAATTTTTAGTTTAATAATTCTTAAACTAAAAGCTAATTTGTATAACGTGTAATTCTATATTATAAAATATAAATAAAGTATAATACACATTTTTGAAGTAAGACGAAAATATTGATTTATATTTTTATTATAGGATAAGGGTGACAAGCGAGCACACAGTCCACCTGATGGTAAGTGGATGCTGTGGCTTATAGACATCTATATATATCCTCGATTAAGATACAAAACGCAGATGCGTTGTTACCTCTGAGGACTAAGATGGAATGCCTCGTTTCCAGTAAAAAGGGTCTCCGGTTCTCTACACTCACCATACGAATCCCAGCAGAATTGAACTGCTATTTTATGCTGGTATTCTGTGCGAATGTGGTCCTTCCCCGGTTGAAACGCCCCATTCGTTCTACAACTGTTTGGTATCATCATCATCATTACAGCCCTTCACAAGTCCACTGCTGAACATAGGCCTCCCCCAAAGAATGCCACAAAGCACGGTCCTGAGCCACCTGCATCCATCGACTTCCTGCATATCTTACCAGGTCGTCACTCCATCTAGTGGGGGGACGCCCTACACTTCGCCTGCCGGTACGAGGCTGCCACTCGAGAACCTTTCTTCCCCATCGGTTGTCGGTTCTTCGAGCTATATGGCCGGCCCATTGCCACTTCAGCTTACTAATCCGTTGGGCTATGTCGGTCACTCTAGTTCTACTGCGGATATCCTCATTTCTGAGTTTATCACGCAGAGAAACTCCGAGCATAGCCCTCTCCATAGCTCGCTGAGCGACCTTGAGCTTCCTCATCCGGCCAGCAGTGAAGGACCACGTCTCAGTTCCGTATGTCATCACTGGCAACACGCACTGGGTGTAAAGTCTCGTTTTCAAGTTTTGAGGTATACCTGACGAGAAGATGTGCCGTAATTTCCCGAACGCTGCCCAACCGAGTTGAATCCGTCGATTGACCTCTCGGTCGAAGTTGGACTTACCTAGTCGGACTATTTGTCCCAGGTAAACATACTCGTCAACAACTTCGAGCTTAGTGTTCCCAACAACTACCGGCATAGGTGTGACATGGACATTAAACATGATCTTTGTT